CCTTCAAGGAGAAAACAGTTTTAGCTGAAAAAACATTTTCTCCCTTAATTCATCCCAGCCTTATGAGACCGGAAGGGAGCTTAGGGGTCATTGAGTTCAATCTCCTTTGGCAAGAAGTCCAGTGGTTTTCAATCTGGGTTTGAACTCCTTCAGTGCGGGGAGGGAATGGTGGAATATTGGGCAGCTTGGGAAGAGTCTGGGTGGGCAGCTGGCCTGGACACAAGCTTTCTTGAAGTTTCAGAAACCCTTGGACCTGAGAGGCTGTATATCCTCCTGGCAAAGCCCCTGGCTCCAGGCAATGGGGCAGTTTTGAGGCAACATCTATTCTGTCAGCTGTGATGGAGCAGGCTGCTGCCCTCCCCCAGAAGAGGCGGGCCACAGAGGCTGGTTGGGGGCTGAGGCCACTTTTCTGCCAATAGACCCACCCACAAGCGCTTGCTGAGAGACTGCCCCGTGCCCAGCCTTGTTCCTGGAAACTGCTGTGATAACACTCCTGGGTTAGAACCAACACTGGCTGACCTTTTACATGGGCAGGATCCACAGGAAAAAGTTGTTGAAAATTTAATGACAGCAATTCCTGAGGCTCGTAAAACTCTTTTAACTTTCTCTAAGCACAGATAACAACATCTTCTCTTACCCTGAGTCAGGTTCTACAGCTCTAAAGCACTCAGTCACTCAGTGTCGTGCTTGATCCGCAGACAAGCCAGGGAGAGGCAGAGATCCTGGGCCCTAGAGCCCAGTGACCTGGACTCAAATCCTCACTCTCCCCCATATGACAGTGTGACTGTGGTCCTTGCCTTACCTCTCTGAGCTTCCTCTTCTGTAAAATAGGGAAAACACACCTATTTTGAAAGGTTGCTGGAAGCGTTAAATGAGAAGATACTGCCTAGCCCAGTGCTTGGGAAAGGCTCATTTCCTCTGCCTTATTTCTCTCCCATTCCTATATTCCAAACAAGGGCATATCCAAGGGTGCAAAACTAGAAGAAGTGGTGGCATACAGTGTCTTAGTCAGCTCAGGCTACTATAATAAAATACCATAGACTGGATGGCTTAAATAACAGACATCTGTTTCTCATGATTCTGGAGGCTTGGAAGTCTGGGTGCCTACATGGGCAGGTCTGGTGAGAACCCTCTTCCTTGCTTGCAAATGGCTGCCTTCTTGTTGTATCCTCACATGACATAGGGAGGAAGCTCTGATGTCTCCTCCTCTTCTTATAAGATCACTAATCCTATCATAAGAAGATCCACCCTCATGACTTCATCTATACCTAATTACTTCCCAAAGACCCTACTTCCTAATGCTATCACCTTGAGGGTTAGGGCTTCAACATATGAATGTAAGGGAACACAAACAATTTGTCCATAACACAGTGGGTCTGAAATAAACCTTAGTTTTCCTTTTCCTCCGCTTCAAGGCCCTGAACTAGGGCTATCTCTTCTCCAGCCTTCTTTTTATGCATCTTCTTGTGCTTCCTGGCAACCCCCTGTGAGAATGTAATGAGAGCCATGGAGCCTCTCTCCTGAAAATGCACGTGTATATAAATAGGTACCATGCACACCTTCTTACCTACCCAATTTTGCTTACAATTTTGCAGAGGTCACAGATCCCTGAAGCTCATTCATGAACTCTAATTTAAAACCTGCCAGAGCGCCCACATGACACAAAGTACCTTTTGCCACAAATTGTGGTTCCGTTTTCTAATTTCCCCAGGTGGATTATAAACTACAAGAAATGGGGGACCAGCTATTCTTGTTCAAGTCTGTATGCCATGTAATGACTAGAGAGAGGTAGGTATATAGTGAATATTAATTGAATGCTTTGGTGGATAAATGGATGGATGGATGGATGGATAGAAAGAAGGATGGATAGATGGATGGAAAGGTGGTTGGTGGGCATGTGGGTGGGTGTGTAGACAGATAAGATGGATAGATAATAGATAAATGGGTAGATGGATGGCGGGTGGGTGGACAGATATGTGGGTGCTTTGGGTGGGTAGATAAGTAGAGGGATGGTTGGGTGGATAGATGGGTGGATGGATAAGATGATGAGCATGTTGTCACGCTCAGAGAAGGGCCCAACCAAGCTCTCCTTGAGAAGATAAATTCATGGTGGGGGGGACCTGAATACTGGAGGACATTGAAAGCCCTGGCTAAAGACCTCTGAGTTAATTCAGTAGAGAATATAAATATAAATTCTAGAGGGATCAGAAGCAGAGGATGCATGGAGGGAACAACGTGATAGCAGGCTGGGTCTGAAGCAGGGCATTGGGCTGGGGTGGGAGAAGGAGACTCTGAGTCAGAAAGCCAAGTAGGAAGATGGACAAGAGGTGGGGGAACCTCTGATGGAAGTACTGAATGGAAAGCAGAAGCTGCAAGACCCATTTCTAAGGCAAACTGGAGAGAAGGCAGGACCCAGTAGGGAAGGGAGAGGGCTGAATGGAGACACAAGAATTCATCGTCCGTGAAATTCTCTGAGCCATTCATTCAACGATCGTTTGTTGAGCCCCTCCTGTGTGCCAGGTTGTTGTAGGCACTGAGGAGAAGTCCCAGTCTTTGCCGTCAGATAAGAAAGACAGAAACACTAGTAAAAGTTAAAATTTACAGAGCACCTACTATGCACCAGCCACTATTCTGAATGTTTAAAGTGACTCTCCTCAACAACAACCGTACGAGGGAGGTATTATTATCATCCCTGCTGAACAGGTAGGGAGACTGAGGCACAGAGAGGGTAAGTTACTTCCCAAAGTTAATACAATCAGTTAAAAGTGTGAGGGTCAGGATTGGAACCCAGGTTCCAGAGCCTATGTGCTTCATCACTGCACTATATTGCTGCCTTAAATGAATGGTGAAGCAATAGTCGTAATGCAAGGTGATGAAAGACATGTTGGCAGTCTGAACTGGTACAGTGGGTTATAGAAGGGGTGGGGGGCGGGGTGATTGACTCTGGTTGGGTGAGTCGAAGAGGATTTGAGAGAGGAGACCCTTTGGAGCTGGGCCTTGAAGAATGAGTAAGGTTTTTTAGGCATCCTGCGAGTAAGGGGTACAGGTGAAGAATGAGGGGAAGGGCATTCCAGGCAGAGAAATCAAGCTGTGCAAAGGCGAAAGGCACTGAGGCATGAAACAGCAGAGACCCGTGCAGGTAATTGTAAGTAGTTCTATGGGACTGCTTTGCAGGACTGGGAGTTGGGAAAAGGGGAGACAAGCTGCATGTTGGAAATAATGCTTGGGGATGTTCCCTCATACTTGTGTGAAGATTTACGACGTTCAACACATTTTTCTGTCTCTTTTGATCACTATGAACAACCCCAACGAGTAAGCAAGTCAAACAGTAAGTCTATCCCTGTTTTGCAGATAAGGAAACAGGTCAGAGAAATTACATGACTGGTCTAAGGTTGTATCAGCATGTAACAGAGACCAAACTAGATCCTCTGACGTCTCACTTGAATAATCTGGGCACTTCTGGCACACAAAGCATTTTGCTGAGCATTGGTAAAAAAGATGAATACGATTGAGTGCTCTGTGTTTTCTGCTACAAAGGGAAAGATAAGGCAACTCAGATCACCAAAGGACTGGATATAAAGCCTTGAGAGAAAAATAACTACCAAGAATAATCAGCATGGGCATAGCGCTTCACAGTTGCAAAGCACATGAACAAACAGAACCTTACTTGTTATCTAGGAAGACAGCCTGTGGCAGACTGTACGTATAATATCTTTGTTCCCATTTTTTAGTTGAGAAAATTAAGGTTCAGAGATAGTAATCGATTTGCCTAAGGTCACACAGCTTGTAGGTGATAAAGCTAAAGACTCAAACATAGTTCTTTCTAACACCAAAGTACAAAACCCATGAGATCTGTTAATATGATAATAGCCAGGATCCATCCTATGATTACTATGTGCTAGCCACTACGTTCAATGCTTGTCATTTCATTTCTGCAAACGTACCATGAGACAGATGCTGCTGTTAAGCTCATTTTAAAATAAAGAAAATTGAAACTCAAAACAGCTAAGGTCCTCCCATCACTAGGATGATCAACCAACCACCACACAAAGCCCCTGCTCTTTGGCACCATGCAATACTGTCCTCACTGACTTTGGACTCTTGTCTAGCCCACCTGAACTAAGGAAGAAAATGCTTTGAGCTTTGCACAAAACCTCTGTGAAAGCAGGTACATTTGATGATGAAAAGTTTCTAACTATTCTATACAATACTATCCCCTTTGTGGGTGAGCCAGTTAAAAAGGCTTTGACTGAAAATCCACTGGTTTCCAAGACTCCTGGGATATCCCTGGTTCCTTCACAATCAGGACTAGAGACGATGACTTTCATTGCTCTGGGAAAGAAAGGGCTTAGACTGGGCAGGAGCCAGGCACGAGATAGGCCTGGGCTGCAGGGCACCATGCCCTTGGCCTGGGTGGAGAAGTCGGCAGGCTAGAGCTGGGATAACAGAAGAACCAGCTAACATTAACTGGGTGGTGACTTTGTGCTAGATACCCTTCCTAACCTTTAACAGAAATCATTCACCCTTTCATCTGCCCAGTGAGGCAGTAACCATTACAGCAATCTTCCAGATGAGAAAATTGAGGCCCAGAGAGCTTAAGTGACTTGTCCAAGATCATACAGCAAATAATTACTGGAAGTAGATTTCCAGCCCAGCTCTTCCGGCCCCAGAGCCTATGTGCTAATCTACATGTTACACCTGGAGGAGGCTTTTGTAGCCAGCAAGCAGAACTCTCCATTTAACCTTTAAGGAGGGCCCAGAGAGGTCATAAAACTTCATCAATAACACACAGCATCACCCAACTCTCAGTCCAGTACTCAAAAGTTTCCACTCCAGAGCCATTCCACTCCTCCTTCCTCACCTCCCTCTTCTTTGTGGTAGCCTTGCCTCCAAGCTGGCCTTGTAGGTTAATGGGAACCAGCTCAGGAGTCAGTCAAACTGGGGGTTAAATCTTGGTTCTATAACTTACCAGTTGTAGGTACTTGGACAAGCTGCATGGTCTCTCAGCCTCAGTCTTCATATCTATCAAATTGTTATATAGTCTTATTCACCTAGAAGGGGGATTGAAAGGGTTAAATGAGGTACTGTTGGGTCCTTCTGCATCATTGTGAAGAACACCATCTATTGGACAGCGCTCGTCCTGAACGACATCCAGCACAGACTAGGTCCTCAATAAATCACTGAATGCATGCATACACGTTCTTGAATAAATGAGTGTCCAGCACAAAGGCCAACGTAGGTAAATAACAGTTTCTCTAGGTGACCTCAGAGGATCCGGCTGTCTGCATCAGGCTAATCAACTAATTTTGGTTGAGGTGTCCATGGCTCCTAACAGTTGAAACTAGTGTCATTCTTCAAGATCAGATTGACATTTTAACTGCAACTTTCTAGTAGTCGGACAAAAGTAGCCTTTTTAGTCCTACCATGGGACCTTCCGGAAGAAAAATTCCTTGAGATACAACAAGGAGAGGTAGAGGGAAGAACAGCAAATTCTGGGAGGGCAGGGAAGAGCTGGGGTGCAGAGGGAGCAGCGTAAGATGGGGAGAAACGGATTAAAGGCCCCGTAAGCCCCCTGCCCGCAAGTTCTCTTGTTTCCACCGCTCACTCCCCATAGCCTAGGACCATCCTGGGCACGTCGCTGGCGCCTCATCACTTTTTGTTTAAAAAAAAAAAAAA